AACTAAAAGCTGCTGCTTTGAGAAGATAAAAAATTTGATAAGCCATTAGCCAGACTCATCAAGAAAAAAAGGGGGAAGACTCAAATCAATAGAATTAGAAATGAAAAAGGAGAAGTAACAACTGACACTGCAGAAATACAAAGGATCATGAGAGATTACTACAAGCAATTGTATGCCAATAAAATGGATAACCTGGAAGAAATGGATTAATTCTTAGAAAAGCACAACCTTCGGAGACTGAACCAGGAAGAAATAGAAAATATAAACAGACCAATCACAAGCACTGAAATTGAGACTGTGATTAAAAATCTTCCAACAAACAAAAGCCAAGGACCAGATGGCTTCACAGGCAAATTCTATCAAACATTTAGAGAAGAGCTAACACCTATCCTTGTCAAACTCTTCCAAAATATAGCAGAGGGAGGAACACTCCCAAACTCATTCTACGAGGCCACCATCACCCTGATACCAAAACCAGACAAAGATGTCACAAAGAAAGAAAACTACAGACCAATATCACTGATGAACACAGATGCAAAAATCCTCAACAAAATACTAGCAAACAGAATCCAACAGCACCTTAAAAGGATCATACACCATGATCAAGTGGGGTTTATCCCAGGAATGCAAGGATTCTTCAATACATGCACATCAATCAATGTGATAAGCCAAATTAACAAATTGAAGGATAAAAACCAATAGATGCAGAAAAAGCTTTTGACAAAATTCAGCACCCATTTATGATAAAAACTCTCCAGAAAGTAGGTATAGAGGGAAGTTACCTCAACATAATAAAGGCCATATATGAAACACCCACAGCCAATATTGTTCTCAATGGTGAAAACCTGAAACCATTTCCACTAAAAACAGGAACAAGACAAGGTTGCCCACTCTCACGACTATTACTCAACACAGTTTTGGAAGTTTTAGCCACAGCAATCAGAGAAGAAGAAATAAAGGAATCCAAATGGGAAAAGAAGAAGTAAAAGTGTCACTGTTTGCAGATGACATGATACTATACATAGAGAATCCTAAAGATGCCACCAGAAAACTACTAGCGCTCATCAATGAATTTGGTATAAAGTAGCAGGATACAAAATTGATGCATGGAAATCTCTTGCATTCCTACACACTAATGATGAAGAATCTGAAAGAGAAATTAAGGAAACACTCCCATTTACCATTGCAACAAAAAGAATCAAATACCTAGGAATAAACCTACCTAAGGAGACAAAAGACCTGTATGCAGAAAACTATAAGACACTGATGAAAGAAATTAAAGATGATATAAACAAATGGAGAGATATACCATGTTCTTGGATTGGAAGAATCAACATTGTGAAAATGACTATACTACCTAAAGCAATCTACAGAGTCAATGCAATCCCTATCAAACTACCAATGGCATTTTTCACAGAACTAGAACAAAAAATTTCACAATTTGTATGGAAACACAAAAGACCCAGACTAGCTAAAGTAATCTTCAGAAAGAAAAACGGAGCTGGAGGAATCAGGCTCCCTGACTTCAGACTCTACTACAAAGCTACAGTAATCAAGACAGTATGGTACTGGCACAAAAACAAAAATATACATCAAAGGAACAGGATAGAAAGCCCAGAGATAAACCCATGCACATATGGTCACCTTATCTTTGATAAAGGAGGGAAGAAAATACAATGGAGAAAAGACAGCCTCTTCAATAAGTGGTGCTGGAAAAACTGGACGGCTACACGTAAAAGAATGAAATTAGAACACTCCCTAACACCATACAACAAAACAAACTCAAAATGGATTAAAGACATAAATGTAAGGCCAGACACTATAAAACTCTTAGAGGAAAACACAGGCAGAACACTATGACATAAATCACAGCAAGATCCCTTTTGACGCACCTGCTAGAGAAAGGGAAATAAAAACAAAAATAAACAAATGGGACCTAATGAAACTTAAAAGCTTTTTCACAGCAAAGGAAATCATGAACAAGATGAAATGACCACCCTCAGAATGGAAGAAAAATATGTGCAAGTGAAGCAACTGACAAAGGATGAATCTCCAAAATATACAAGCAGCTGGTGCAGCTCAATATCAAAACAACCCAAACAACCCAATCCAAAAATGGGCAGAAGACCTAAACAGACATTTCTCCAAAGAAGATATACAGATTGCCAACAAATACATGAAAGGATGCTCAACATCACTAATCATTAGAGGAATGCAAATCAAAACTACAATGAAGTGTCACCTCACACTGGTCGGAATGGCCATCATCAAAAAGTCTACAAACAATAAATGCTGGAGAGGGTGTGGAGGAAAGGGAACCCTCTTGCACTGTTGGTGGGAATGTAAACTGATACAGCCACTATGGATAACAGTATGGAGGTTCCTTAAAAAACTAAAAATAGAACTACCATACGACCCAGCAATCCCACTACTGGGCATACACCCAGAGAACACCATAATTCACAAAGAGTCATGTACCACAGTGTTCACTGCAGCTCTATTTACAATAGCCAGGACATGGAAGCAACCTAAGTGTCCATCGACAGGTGAATGGATAAAGAAGATGTGGCACATATATACAATGGAATATTACTCAGCCATAAAAAGAAATGAAATTGAGTTATTTGTAGTGAGGTGGATGGACCTAGATTCTGTCATACAGAGTGAGGTAAGTCAGAAAGAGAAAAACAAATACCGTATGCTAACACACACACACACACACACACACACACACACACACACACACATATATATATATATATGTAATCTAAAAAAAAAAAATGTTCTGAAGAACCTAGGGGCAGCACAGGAATGAACACGCAGACGTAGGGAATGGACTTGAGGACACGGGGAGGGGGAAGGGTAAGCTGGGATGAAGTGAGAGAGTGGCATGGACATATATACACTACCAAATGTAAAACAGATAGCTAGTGGGAAGCAGCTGCATAGCACAGGGAGATCAGCTTGGTCCTCTGTCACTACCTAGAGGGGTGGGATAGGGAGGGTGGGAGGGAGATGCAAGAGGGAGGGGATATGGGGATATATGTATGCATATAGCTGACTCATTTTGTGATACAGCAGAAACTAACACACCACTGTAAAGCAATTATATTCCAATAAAGATGTTAAAAAAATTCTTACATATATTCGAGATAGAAATGTATCTCAGAACACATGCTAGGAAAAGAAAGCAGTTGATGGACTCTAGAACCAGATTCACATATGTCCACCACTTGTGGAGGCATTTAACAGCTGTTAGAATTAGAGAAACAAGGACTCAGATTGAGAAAAAATATTTCAGTTTCCCAGGCAAAAGCTATTACTACAGGCATCCAAATGAAAGGTAAAGATTAAAATCCCTTTGATTATCCATACTTTGCTATAACTACATATTAGGAGGAAAATAGGCCTGTTTATTTGAGTTATAGACTTGATTGTAGAGATGCCTTCTCCATGTCTTTCCCTTCCATTCCAAACGCTTCAGTATTTCTCTTACTTTATAATTATTTGGCAGATGGAAGGGAATTTTTCAAAGGCCTATATGTTTATTATTATCTTTTGGTAATTCCTTAGTTGGATCTTATTTTTTCCCACCAGATGACCATGAAACATTATTTTATTTATAGCATTTAAAAACATTTAATTATATAAGATATTTAAAGATCTGTTTTGATCTAGGATACAAGGTTTAAGAACATAAAATAAATGGCCTGTGCAGCTCACTTTTAAAATTATACTCCATACATTTATCAGTAAAAAGGAACACAGCAGAATTAGACGTGTGGATATCAGATTCTAAATATGCCTTTGTTTAGAGAAAAGCCATGTCTAAACTAAGGAAAAGAAATACTCATGAGGAACTAGATTACTGTTGGCAACTTAGTAAATGTCTTTTAGGAAGAAAAGGAACTGGACACTGGGCTCATTTCTCAGTCCCCGAGTTTGGAGGAGTGGTCTCCTTCTGGCATCAGGGTGGTGGGGTGGCAGAGACAGTGTGCCACAACGGGAAGAACATCTGAGTTTGGAGTCAGAGAAACACCCAACTCCAAATACTCCATGACCTCCTTTGGGAAGAGAAACCCCATCTCTAAAACAACTCTAATAAATAACCAGACAAGTCACTTCTCTGCTTGAAATTATCCATTCACTGGTCCCCATCACCATCAGGGTCTGCTCCCCTTTTACATCTCTCACATCACTGTTCACGACACAGACATAAACAACTACCCCAGGTATCGCCTAGGGCTACTATGAAGTTCTCAGACAATGCCACGTTCCCCCATGACTCCATGTTTTTGCAGAGGTAATTGCCTCTTCAGAATCCCTTTAGTCAAAATAAGGTCATTAAGGTGAGAGTCTTAATCCAACATGACTGGTATCCTTAAAGGAAGAGGAAATTTGGACATAGTCATGTACAGAAGGAAGACCATGTGAAGACACAGAGAGAAGATGGCCATCTACAAGCCAAGAAGAGTGGCCTCAGAAGAAACAAACCCTGCAGACACCTTGGTCTCAAAATCTAGCCTCCAGAATTGTGAGAAAATAAATCACTTTATTAAAAAAAAAAAAAAAAAAAAAAAAAGAATCCCTTTAGTCTTTGTGGACCTACATGTCATCCTAAACCTGCCTTCTAATTTGTTTATATTCATAGTAGCTACTCTAACTGATTATATGTGGGGTAAATGAGAAGCTGTGACAATAAGAATATAAAGTAAGTTTTCTGTCTTTTGGATTTAATTACATTTGGATTGGCAGTGAAGAAATCACCACTGGGGAAATCTCTCATTGTTGGTTCAGCTGGAGGCTGGAAAAGTAGACGATCATCCCTAATCTTGAAACTAAGGCTGGATGCTAATTTTGCCTTCTGGGAAACAGATGATTTAAGTTTTCCTTAAGAAGGAAAATAACTTAGTACACTAAAATTGGCACAAAACAAGTTCAGTGAGAATTATGATGAAAGATTTCATATATTTTCAACTTAGCTAAACAAAAATCAAACTTTACCTCTTGAAATGATTCACCAGGACTCCAACCAGCTCTCCAATTCGACTCTCGTGGGTTGGCTGTTTGCTGAAGAGACAGACAATGAGGTCTTTGTTGTCTTTTGTATGGAACACTACCAGTTGGTCCTTCCCATTGGAGACGCTCAGACCAGTCAACTGCAAAGAGACAAGGCATGGAAACTGTAAGGGTGGTTCTCAAAAGAATGAATTAGAAATACAGTTTGTAATGGTTCTACTCAGTAACTCTGATGACATTAATCCTTATCGAGCTTCATGAAACAAGCAGATAAAAGGAAATAATAAAGATAAGAACAAAAATTAACAAAATTAAAAGCAGAAAAACAATAGGGTAAAATCAATGAAACAGAGCTGGTTCTGTCAAAAGATAAATACAATTGCTGAATCTCTAGTCTGAAAGAATAGAAGAGAGAAGACCTAATTACCCATATCAGAAATGGAAGAGGGGCTATTACTACAGACCACATAGACATTAAAAGGATAATAAAGGAATATTTACAACAACTTTATGCACATAAGTTCAACAACTTAGACAAAACCAAACAATTCCTTGAAAGCCATAAACTACCAAAATTCACCCAAGAAGACATAGATAACCTGAATACTGCTATATCTATTAAAGAAATTAAATCTGTAGTTAAGAACCTTTCAAAAAAGAAAACTCCAGAAGGCTCAGATGATTGCCTTGGTAAATTCTACCAAATATTTAAAGAAGAAATAACACCAATTCTCCACATCTCTTCTAGAAAACGGAAGAGAAGGAAACACTTCACAACTCATTTTTTGAGCACTGTCCTGATGCCAAAAATAGACAAAGGCAGCAAAAGAAAACTACAAACCAATATCCAATATCCTTCATGAACATGGATGTAATTAGAATGGCCAAAACATCAGCAAATCAAATCCAAAAATACATAAAAACAAAAATGCATCATGACCAAGTGGAGTTAATCTAAGAAATGCATAGCTAGTTTTGTATTAAAAATATCAATCAATGTAATCCATCATAGCAACAGAAAAAAACCCCAAAGCTACACTATTTACAATTGTCAGGGCATGGAAGAAACCTAAATGTCCACTGACAGATGAATGCATAAAGAAGATGTGGCATACACACACACACACACACACACACACACACACACACAATGGAATATTATGCAGCCATAAAAAGAAACAAAATTGACTTATTTATTTGTAGTGAGGTGGACAGACCCAGAGTCTGTCATACAGAGTGAACTAAGTCAGAATGAGAAAAACAAATGTTGTGTGCTAACGCACATATATGGAATCTAAAAAAACGGTACTGATGAACCTAGTGGCAGGGCAGGAATAAAGACGCAGACGTAGAGAATGGACTTGAGGACACGGGGAAGGGGAAGCTGGGACAAAGTGAGAGAGTAGCAATGACATATGCACTACCACATGTAAAATGGATGGCTAGTGGGAAGCAGCCACATAGCACAGGGAGATCAGCTCGGTGCTTTGTGACCACCTAGAGGGGTGGGATAGGGAGGGTGGGAGGGAGATGCAAGAGGGAGGGGATACGGGGATATATGTATACTTATAGCTGATTCACTTTGTTATACAGCAGAAGCTAACACAACATTGTAAAGCAATTATACTCCAATAAAGATATATAAAAAAAGAAAGCTATCATATCAATTGACGCAGAAAAAGCATTTGACAAAATTCAAGATCCATTCATGATATAAATCTCTCAGCAAACAGGATTAGAAGGGAATTCAACCTATTAATGACATCTACAAAAACGCCACAGCTAACATCTTACTAAGTGGTGAAAGACTGAATGTTTTCCCCAAAGATCAGGAGCAATGTAAGGATTTCTACTGTTTCTGCTGCTGGGCAACTTCATACTGGAAGCCCTAGCCAGTGCCTTAAGGCAGGTTTGAATAAATTAAAAGGCATACAGTTTAAAAGGGAAGAAACAAATGACTTTATTTTCAGATTACATGATCATCTATATAGAAAATCCCAAGGAATTTACAAAATAGCTCTCAGAAGTAATTAGTGGGTTTGGCAAGGTCACAAAACACAAGGTCAACAGACAAAAATATTTATATATATCAGCAATGAAAAACTGGAAACAGAAATTTAAAACCAAAACCATCCACAACTTCAAAACCAAAAATGCTTAGATATAAATATAACAAAATGTGTGTAAGACCTGTAAGCTGAAAACTACAAAATGTTGATGAAAGAAATCAAATGAACATGCTGATGACAGGAATAAAAGAAAATCTAAATACACAGAGAGGAATAATGCGTTCATGGTTTGGAAAACTCAATATTGTTGAATACTGCCAATTTCCCCCAAATCGATCTATAGATTTAATGCAATCCCAACCAAAATCCCAGCAGAATTTTTGGTAGATATCAACGAGCTGATTCTAAAATGTATATGGAAAGGCAAAGGAACCAGAGTAGCCAAAACAATTTGAAAAAGAACAAAGTTGGAGGACTCACAGTAGCTGATCTTCTTACTATAAAGCTACAGTAATCAAGACAATGTAATTGTCAAAAGGACTGTCAAAGGGATAAAAACATAGATGAGTGGGAAGAGAATGGAGAGTTAGATATAGTCTCACACAAATACGACCGATTGATTTTTCACAAAGATGCAAAGGCAGTTCAACGGAGAAAGGATACTCTGGACATTTGGATAACTCAGAACATTTGGACATCCACATGCCAAAAGAAATAAACATTGACCTAAATCTCACAACTCGTGAAAAATTAATTCAAAATGGGTCATAGATCTAAATGTAAAATGTAAAACCATAAAACTTTTAGAAGAAAACCCAGGAGAAAATCTCTGTGACCTTGGATTGGGCAAAGATTTCTTAGAAATGACACCAAAAGCACAACTCATAAAAGAAAAAAAAACAACTGTTAAACTAAACTTCATAAAATTTAGAACTTTTCTCTAAATAAGACATTGGTAGGAGAATGGAAAGACTGCCCACAGACTGGGAGAAAATATTTGCAGAGATATATCTGATAAAGGACCTGTGTCCAGAATATATAAAGAACTCTTAAAACTCAACAACAGGACAGCAAACAAGTCAACTTAAAATGGGCAAAAGATGTGAAGTCACTTCACCAAAGAAGACCTATGGGTGGCAAATAGGTGCTCAACATCACTAGGCACTACAGAAATGCAAATTAAGACTATAACAAGATATCACCACAAGCCTATCAGAATGGCCAAAATTAAAAAAAAAACAAAGAAGAACAACTAAAGTGACAATACCAAAGAGGATGTAGAACAATCAACTCTCATACATTGTTGGTGGGAATGTAAAATGGTACAATCACTGGGAAAACAGTTTGGCAGTTACTCAAAAAGTTAAACATAGAATTACCACATGAACCAGAAATCTCAGTCCTAGGCATTTATCCCAGAGAAATAAAAATTTATGTTCACACAAAAACTTACACATGAATGTTTACAGCAGCTCTATTCATAACTGCTCCAAACTGGAAACCACCAGAATATCCATCAATAGGTGAATAAGCAAACTGTGATAACATCTATACAATGGAATGTTATTCAGCAATAAAAAGGAATGAACTAATAATACAAATTATTGATATGCATCACCATGGTTTATTTTCAAAGGCATTATGCTGAGTGAAAGCAGCCAGTCTCAAAAGGTTACCTACTACACGACTCCATTTATGTGATATTCTAGAATATAGCTGTCAGGGATTGGGGTCAGGGGGAGTCTGATACAACGGAGTTTTTTGGGGGTAATGGAATGACTCTGTATCCTCATTGTGGTGGTGGTTACAGAAATCTATGCATGTATTAAGACGCACAGACCTGTATACAATCACCACTACCAAAAGCCAATTTTATTTATTATACGCAAATTAAAAAAATATAGCTCCTTGGTTATTTTGATCCCTAGATCTACCTTGGTCAATAAAACAGAAACCCGAGTGATTTCTTGTTCTGTGGTTTGTTCTTCTATTGCAGAAAATACCAAAGTGCCACCTCCTGGCTGCCACAGGTGCTGTCCGTCTGGCAATCAGCATTGACAGGATACCCACTGGGGGCAATGCAGAGTGCCAGGCAGCCTGGGGGTAGGGATGGAGGTACCAAAGATGCAGAAGGTATAATCTCTGTTCTAGGGGGATTCATGATCCAGTTGGATGAGTGGAAGAGACAAATACCCAACAACTGAAGAACACTTTAACAGTTCATACGTTTGGAAGATCATTGAGTCTCATGCCCATATTTTACAGATAAGCAAACGGAGGCTCAAAGAAGTTAGCTGATTTGCAGACCCTGAAACTGGAACTCAGGCCTACAGATGGACCCAGACGCATGTTCTTTCTGTCACAGTAGGCTTTTCCAAATATCATGTACAAATGAACACAGGCTGTGAAAATAAGTATCCCTAAATGTCACAGAAATAAATGTTCATAGGAGGTGAGTTCTTAGGTTGATTTTAAAGAATTCCAGGGTCAGCGCTCAATGGAGAGAAAGGAAAATATTCAAGGAGCTGGAGATCGTTTCACAGACCCACGTTAGATCATGGGTTTTCTGAGGCCATGGATAAGAGAATGTATCCATCTTTCTGACACTTAGATGATTTTTTTTTTGTTTTTTGGTTTGGTTTGGTGTACATTGGCTTTTTTTTAAAGTTCCTTTTAAAAATATTTTATTGAAGTCTAGTTGATTTACAGTGTTGTGTCAATTTCTGCTGCTGCTGTACAGCAAAGTGACTCAGTTATACATGTATATACATTCTTTTTCATTTCTTTTCCATTATGGTTTATCACAGGATATTGAATATAGTTCCCTGTGCTATACAGTAGGAACTTGTTGTTTGTCCATCCTATATATACTAGTGTGCATCTGCTAACCCCAAACTCCCAATCCTTCCCTCCCCCACCCCCAGATGATTTTTATATGAGTAAATTAAAAATACCATTTTCGTTTAAAAAAACATGTTATGTCTAAGATCCTTCTCTCTCATTTATTTTATATACAAAATTCAAAATGAAATTTATGTAGCACTTCACAGGAGAACTTGATTAAAGCCTAATATAAATGAGAATTCTAACAGCACTAACTCTGCCTGCATATCCCAGGAACATTAGCTGCA